ATTATCACAACTTAATCTTTGATGAGGGTCTAAACGAGTTATGAGTGTTGCGGAAACATGACGCACACTTGATATGAAAATGAAACTTATTTTAAGGATCTCAAATTTCAAAGTATTTTCCGATATTTTGTTGTTATCTGACTCGGTAACTGTAATATTATCAGTATAGGTAATACGAATTTGATGTAATTACGTTTTTTATTGCGTGGCATAAATTTGATTTCAGTATGAGGCTTGCTGCCTTATACATATTTAGGTTTGACTTTACCTATAATAGGGGTGCTCTGAGTTAGTACTTATAAAAAAAACCAGAGCATTCATTCATTCAGGTTTCATGTGTACGGAAACCGGCCTTAATATGTAATTTACATGTCAAACCCACGTCTGAGGTTGAGCGTCAGCCCAAGTGATTTATAGCTTGGTGGTTACTGGAGCCCATAGACATCGACAACGTAATGCGCCACCTACCTTAAGATATAAGTCCTAAGGTCTCAAGTATAGTTACAACGGCTGCCCTAACCTTCAAACTGAAACGCATTACTGCTTCACGGCAGAAATAGGCAGGGTGGTGGTACCTACCCGTGCGGACTCACAAGACGTGCTAACACCAATACCGAATATTTACGTATGTACCGAATTTGAACTCCCGCACCCGGATACCAATATTTTTTTTAAGAAAAAAGTACTTAACACGTGTTCACGAACGACTTCCTCGTTCAAGGTATAACATCTATACATATAAATATAATTAGAGTGTCGGTTTGTAGTATTGAAATAACCGCGTTTTACTACATGCATATGAATATATATGCGGTACATACACCAAAATAACATTTTTTACAATTTTTCCTTGTCTGTCTGTTCCGACTGATCTCTGGAACGGTTGGACCGATTTTGATGAGACTTTCACTAATAGGTAGCTGATGATATAAGGAGTAACTTAGGCTAGTTTTTTTTAGACTAGCTTCGCCCCGCGGCGTCACCCGCAGTTATTGTCGTACCGCGCGCAACATGGCGGGCTTCGCCTATCAATCAATAATAAAATTTAATGTTTCCGAAGCGAAGCGAGGGCTGGTCGCTAGTAGGGTAATAAAATTAAAAGTACAAAAATGTATATATTACCTACTTGAGGTAGAGCGTATTGTACCAGAGTACGGCTAGATATCGCTTTTTTTGCCTGTTACACCTGCGAAGCCGTCATGTGATCCGATTTGAACGGTGATAAAGCCATCATACTATACAATTAAAACGCGGGAGCCCTCATATTTCAAGGTGGGTAGTAATATTCAATCTATGGTATTTGGTAGCCACTATCACTAGGTGGACCATGAGCACGCACATCCTGACAGTGCAATAATACTACTTACACGGATTGTTTCAGCTGTAATTTCTTGCTTAGTTTGCAATCACATCGGTTTTTTTTCGTTTGATAGTAATTTTATTTATATTTATTTCTCTGTATGGAAAATGGTGTGATTTTGAACCTTAAAATATGTAGTGTTATTCAATTTCAGAAACAGTAGAAAATTGCAGTAAAATTTCAAGTTATGATTACGTCAGATTTTCTCATATTCACATTCAAATGATATCCTCGTGTTCTTTTTAAACGATTTTCTGTTTAGCATTTATTAGGTGTTAAAAATATAAACGAGGTTTAATAGTATTTTGTTTCCACGCTGTATTGTTATAATCTCGCCGATAAAACTCCGATGCTAATTTGAATTGCGCAAGCGAACGAAACAATTATATACATACTGTAAAATTATTATCTTAAATCGAAAGCCAATAGTTATTTTTATATTTAGAATTTAAACACCTTACTATAGATGAAATTTATTAATTTAACTACAAATTATATTAACATGACATGTTCTGTATACATTAAATCAAACAATTAACAATTATTTAAATTTAACTAAACAATACAAATTGAACAAAGAACTTTTTGAACCCACATAGGTTAAGAAATTACAATGAAACAAATTGAATTAGAAATTACACATGGTGTATAAATTTTAAAATTAAAGAGACGTAATTATTTATGAATTCACCTTTGTATGTACATACGGAACTCACTTATGATCTTTATGATGAGTGTTTATTTTATTTGGCGCCCAGTGGGTCAAGGCGACCTTTGGCTCGAGTAAATGACTTCTGCGAAAGTCGTGTGCAAGTGACCCTTTCTATGAAAGTATGCCAAAATCTTGTTACGTAATACTGCAGATCGGATGCGGAGGTCCATTCACGAGAGCCATCTGAGCCACCCCGCCCCACACTACTGCGCAGAGGGCGCCCCCAGAGACGCCACCCACGCTCGTTCAACTAAACGTCTCGTTTTGTGTATTCATAGAAATAACATTTTCGTATAAAAAAATTCCTACCCGAGCCTTTAGACCGGTGTTTATCAAGGTGGGGCCCACGCCCCACAAGGGCGTAATTTGATAATTAAGGGGGGCAATCGCACTAAATAATACTAATATAGAAAATCTGTATTAAAATTATTTTGAATTTGGAATTCAGTTTCTTATTATAGGTTTTGAAATATTACTTAGTGTTTTGATAACAAGTTCATAGTTATTTCTTCCTAAAACCTACCATTTATGTTTATTAAGTGAACAAATATTTTTTTTAATGTTAACAATTGTGTATGGGGGCATAAAATTTTTAGAAATATTGCAGTGGGGCATGACACAAAACGGTTAGGAAGCAGAAATCCTGCTTTAGTGGATATGCCACCGTAACCGAGCGAGTAAGTGAGCTCACGGGGCTCTAACCTGAGGGCGTTGCTAGCACTAGCCCTAGCCAGAGCAGTGCTTTACAGAATCTACCACCGGATCGAAAACGCGACCCACTGAGAAGATCCGGCGAGAAACTCAGTGGGCTGTGTTTGTGGGTTAAATTCGTACATAGCGTTTTTAGTTCTGCAGTTCAGTGTTAATGTTTTATAAGATTTTTTATATGATATTTATTTTAACCGCGAAAAGCATTTATGTAATTATGTAGATAAATATTAGGTTTCGATTTTTTATACGTTAAAGGAATAAGATATTTAGTATTTACGGATGATATTTATTTTGATTGTTAGTGGTGGCTTCTATGATGATGACCTTGACCGTCAGTTACGTCTACATTAATAAAACATTGTCTACTACTTTTTTAGAAAACTGAATGTATTTAGTAAGTATTTCCTTAGAAAAGTCAGTACCTACCTATGGTATTTAAACACCGGTACAGTCATATTACCTGATAGAACTATGTCACGCTTCTTCTTATACAATAAGCAATCAGTAAAATGAACACTTGAAAATATACACATCTTGTTAATATAATAATAGTTTAATAAAAAAATTTCTATTTCCACTTTTTTTTTTATAAAGAATTTGGCTCCAACGCCTTTGGCATTGATTTTGCCAAAGTATTTACAAAAATGACAGGTGCTTAGAGAGGAAAAAAATTACTAAATCTAAAATTTCCACTTGAGATGATTGGCCCCTGATTGCTCAAACAGTAAAATATTCCAAACATTTGGAATAATCAAATGAAGATAATGAGCCCTAGATTAAATAATTAAAGTAGCTTTAATTATGTGTTTGACTTACGAAAATCTAAGAAATTATTAAGGTTATCTTTTTTGTTTTTAAGGTCTGGCTGCAATAATTGTTATCACCTTTACGTAGCAAAAACATTGGTTGTCTTAGGTATGAAGACATTTTGTATACATTTGCCGGGATCATAGATACCACAGATTTACTTTGAGATGTAAGGTTGGCATTGGAAAGTTTTCTTAAATATTAAATAATATAACAGACATTTTCCTTGCTTTAAGTACTACCAGTGTCCAGGGGCGAAAGTAACCACCTCATTTCCAGGGTTGTCTAGCACTTGTCTGACAGCATGGAAAATCATGATCGAGCATTCGTTTATAAAAAAAAATTACAACTCAACAAAGTACAGACTATAAATCTTGTTGGTTGCTGCATAACGATCCAAGGAATTGTTAATTGACACAACAATGATTTAATGCAAAAAGTCAGTTTATTAACAAATATTGATTTATTAATTTAGGCAAAACCAAAAAACATACATGATTTTGAATTTTACATGTCAAAGAGGGTTCTTTGATATGTTAATTAACAGCTGTCCAAAGTAGATAATAGTCTTCAAGAATATAATCTGCCTAATGTCAAGTTTCCATTATAAATAGCTGAGACATTCACACAGAAAGAACAACATTGCATTCAATATTTACATTTGGCTACAAAGTGCTATTAAAATAGAGCTTAGTGTTTATAGTTTATTTATTTCCTAGTTTACTATAATAATACTTAACATGACCTGGGGTGATATTAAAGAGCAGGCGCAAGGCAAGATGAAGTGGAGACAACTTATGAAGGCCCTATGTACCAGCAAGGTACCCTAGCTCTAAAACAACAACAACAACAATACATCACATTCAAATATAATTTATTAGCTATTTAGAGTCGGTAATTATTAATATAATTGTTATATAATTAGAAACAGCAATTTATTAAACAACCTGTTTTAATATTAATATAAATTGGGTAACATATGACAGAAAAGTTGTGTGGCTGTATTCATGTTATGAAGTCTATGGGTTCCAGTAACCACTATACATCAGTCGGACTGTGAGGTAGTTCTTTCACCTATACAATTAAAGTAAGTGCCAGTGTAAGATATATTTCATTAAAAAAATATTTTTTACATCTACCCTTTTCAAAATAGTTCATTTGACTACCCGTCTGTTTGGGTTGATAGGCATAATTAAGCTAACATATATATTAAAATCGAACCGGCATGGTATGCGTTTGACGTGTAAATAACGTAAATCGTGCATTTAAGTATTGTTTCAATTAATTTTGTCGAAATTAAAAATGTTTTCGATGGGCTGCCTACTTTTTAAACTATAATACGTTTCAAATTGTAGGTAGCGTTTCACACATTCATTTTATTAGTATTAAAGATTTTTCATCGGTACTCACCGTGGTCGGTTTTGCATGTACAATTGCCCGAAGAATATGAAAGCCATGTAGATTCCAACGTAATAGAAAGCCACGGTCCAGTTTTCTGTCATCCATTTCCTATAGTTGTGATGAATAAAATGATTTTCAAAATCAAAAATATATGAATAATTTGGAGTGATATCCAGGTTGGATGGAACAGCGGCAGAATATGCCTCCATTTTTCCTTTCTATTTCCAAACACCACGAATTAGTTAACACAGTCTTCAGTCAGTTTAAGCACAGTTCATCACAGGATTTTAACCTAGCATTTAATAACAGGATACTACTGTACTTTTATCACAGACGAACTAAATTAGATTCGCGGGGCGGTTAGGCGTGCTGCCGTTTATGTCACTGATTTGAGAATGATCGCGTAATGTCCTCCTGTTAACTATTTATTGCGATGACGAGGCCTCAGCCCGCGTCCGAATTTATTTGACTCGTCAACGGTAACAAGCATGTGAAAAAGATGAATGAACTCGTTTCACGCCACGCCGTCCCTGGTCTTCATATTCGATTTGACAATTGAGTTTGACAGGTATCCCCGCCCGTCGGGGCCGCAGCCGGTCTCCCTCCTCCGCTAAAAAATTTTTGTTGCCAGAACGCATTTTTTTTTAAATTGTTTGTCTCGGTTGTCCGCAATATCATTCATTTTTCAAAGATAAAAGATTTTTCGAAGTAGTGTTAATATTTTAGAATCAACTTTCTTACTTGTTTGTAAACGTCAGCAATCCGAGTATGTACACGTCCAAGCTGCTGCCTATCGCTGAGTACACTTCTCAACCTAAGTGATATGAAAACGCCCAGGAAACACCGTGCAGACAAATTCATTCCAAAGACAGGTAGCATATGGAAAAAAGCGCTAACCCCGAGAATGAGACGAGTATTCCTGCCTGGGCCTGGGCTTTGTAAAGCATTAGGCTTTACTGTCCAAGTGACACCGATGCTGAAAACTACTCAAAACGTCAACTCCAATAATCCTAATAGTTTTGGAAGATTTCAAGGTCCTTCTTCGCAGTGAAACCAATGTCTTCAGTGACTTGAATTGAACTAAGTTTAATCCACCTTATTCCTTGACCCTATTTCAAGATTCTTTCTGAAATTTGAATTCAGAAAACTTTACCTATTTCCCTATTTTTAGAGCCACTGAAAGGGTGCGACATGACCCACTCGATTTGTGGACGTTGAAAAACAGGAAGCACCTGTCTGAAGGCACGCTGTGTGATATAGACCTTAAGCACGCAGGCTGCATGCGGCTGCGTGACGCAGCTATCTCACGGGATATGACCGGAGAGTCTCCTCCTTCATCCGAAGTCGAATTCAAGTTGGCAAGGTCATAAAGCCCAACCGTCGTTTTCGCACTGTGGGTCCATGAGCGACAGTATTCATTCACCAACAGGTGAATACTGAATTGTTTTTTTTTTTTTATGATTGATAGATTACTGGTGGCCCGAAGGCCTTTCCAGTTTCACCAGGACAGGTGGGCGAGCAAAGGCTCAGCCAGGAAGGGTGGGATTTGCTAACAGCTGCCCGAGCGCCTCCAAAGGAGACCTAACAACTCAAGAGCAATTGCTTCGCGAATGAATCTACTACCGGATCGGAATCGCGACCCGCTAAGAAGATCCGGCGAGAAACTCAACGGGCTGATGCATGGGCTAGGTTACACGTCGACCTCTTTGTCGAGTTCGACGAGTACGGTTACTGGAGTCCCTAAGCCTGCTCCTAGTATTAGAGCTGAAGGCATCTAATGCAAAGGTTATTAGATCTGATGGATCCGTAAGGACGTGTCTAGGGCGTCGACGGTGACTGGCTCCTGCATGATCAGGATTCGGTGAGTAGTCATCGGCGGCAACGATAAGGCGATTATCATGACGCATAGCCTTATCGAAGTACTGAATTGTATGCTCGTCTGACTGAAAAATGCCTATAATAATAAATATAGATATCGATCAACGTTCACCTAATTTAAGGCTTAAATAAAACGCAACTCTGTGCCGAAATATATTTTTATTTCGCTATAACATCGTGTACAAGTTTCGACTACGAATAAACATTTAATTATTGTCAATAATATCATATCGAAACGTTAGAATTACATAAATTGTGTTTTGGTTTTTATCTATTACTTGTACTACATTTTGTAGGCTATTTTAAATATCCTCATAGGTATTTGATAGTTGAAGGGTATAAATACGAATATGCCTCAATCACAAGACACCCCGAATTGATGGTGAAATTCCACTGTGATGTATGAAAATGAAATTATTGAGAACCTTTATTAATAAAGGTAAAATTTGTAGTTTTAAGACATAAACGGCAAGGAAACTGGGACAAAAGAGTAGTCTTTGATGAACGAATCGCCATTAAATATAACCACGCCATTACTTCCCAAAGAAGGCGATTTGTGTGTTTGGTTGAGTCAATCATTTTGAAATCCCAAACCCTTAGCAAACTTTAAATTCATATATTGTGATAGATTCTTCTTCTTCAAGTGCTGTCTCGATCATAATTAAGATGAATAATTGGATCGAATAAGTCAATTTCAAATTTCAAAGTCCAGTATTCGGCAGTTGTCAACAAAGTTGCGTCATTCTGCCACACTATATATGGATTCAGGACAAATAGGTGACTACAATTTGTTGAAATCACTTCTTCTTCTTCTTCTTAATTTTGGCTCGGCACCATTCGTGCATTTGGCCAGTGTCAAGTATTTTACATTTTGTCAACAAAGCGAGGGAAACGTATAACGCGAATTAAAATAATTAAACCGTGTTGAAATCACTAAACATTGACATTTGGATGTCGCTAGATGAAAATATTATTAATATGGCAAGGTTTTTGTTAAGGACATAACTAAAAAAAAAATTAAGGCCGACTTTGGAAATGGCGGGATAATTTTTTTTTTGGTAAGAGGAAAATACGCTTCGTCCTGTATGTTTGCATTTGGTTGTTTAATCGTTAATGACTATGGTCGAATTTCGGTCACTGGACGAAGATTGATGTCAATCAAATACCGGGGGTAGGTAAGTGTTCCACGGGGAAAGGAAAATAACTCTCTCAAACTCGTACTAAAATTTTTAACTGAAAATTCAGTAACATTATTAGCCTTTCAAACATTTGGTCAGGTTGCGATGCGACCATTGCTAATTGTATCAAAGGCATCGATTCTAAGATACTGGGCGATCCGACACCTTTGACACAGTCAGCGCGGGAATGCCAATATTTGCGCAGTTTGACAGTTGGATGAATGCTTTTGGGAACGTACAGAGACACAAACATAAAAAAATATATGCATTATTTAAGATAATCTCTCATCGTTTGATTTGGCGGGAACTGGGCGCTTCATAGACACTTGCTCAGAAATAACAATGAAAAAGACAAGCCTGCTTCTAAAACAAAGGGTCAATTCAAGTTTTGTTTTTTCAATTTCAAACTATTACATAAATAAATAAACTCAACTCTGCTTTTGCAACTGCCACACAGCTTCGCAGCTTCGTATTTACGAAACGCAATTACTTAACTGAGTCACAACAAAATGATGACAAAATTAAAAGATGAAATAAATATTACATGATTTTATTTACGCATTATTAAACAAAGTTAACAACATAACCCATCGTAAATGGAAATGAATCTTGAGTTTCTTGATATATTTTTTTATACAATTGAAACATACTTCTAAATGATTACACTTAAAAATAAAACAGCACAACAAAAATAAAGTCAGAATGTTTTATATGAACGAGGTTTTTAAAGTTAGCGGTTTCATTTCCCGTTCATGTAATCCATGACATGGTTAAATAAATACTAATGAAAGAAATTTATTCCTTAATACATATTTATAAGAAACTACAAATTAATATTAAATATTTAATATCTATTCCGAAAATGAAATAATATTTAATTACATACTTATTTTCTTGTAAAATTTTAGAATTATGGAAACCGGTCTGAACGTACAAAAAAAAAAGAATTACGTATAAATGAATAGTTGTGATCAAATTCTATTGCGGAGACCAAAAAATAAAACCGATGCTTATACAGTTTAAGCCAGTAAATAAAATTTAAAGTTTTGCTTAGGTAAAAGATTTACCTAATGTTTTTGTGAAGATCTTTTTTTTTCTAAAATCCAATCAGATTTCTAATACGGTACATGAATCATGTTAAATTGAGTTGGGAAGTAAAATATTTGCATATTCGTGAATGAGAATCATGTTTCAAACAAGTCACACACAAAAATGGTATTTTCAGTGAGTAAACGTCCAACTTTTCAGTTTTTTTTTAAATTTAAATCGCTAATAAAGGAACACACGAATTAGCATTGGAACGTTTTTAACGATATTAATGCACCTGACTGCTGGTGAAAAATTAAAGTTCCATTTATAAATATAATAAAAACTGCGAAAAAAACATTTTCTGCCTTCATCATATTATGATTGTGACACAAAAGTTTTCCAGGTTGAGTATTTTACCAATATTATTAGATCGTTAGATTGTAGATAAATAAAAATACAATTTAACATCTAAAATGGATCACATTGTTATCAGTATTTATTATTCAAAGTGCGCGTCTCGAGAATACGACAACAATAACCAACAAAATTATTATATACAATACAAAATGAAAACACATATAAAAACTGTCAATAATAATAATAAATTATTAAAAATCTCAAACATTGTAAACAACATTTTTTTTCTATACTGTATTCTGTATCTTTTCCATAGTTCTTTTAGAAACGTAGAATCTGCAGCCGGAGTTTTTCATAAAACAAGTTACAAAAGTGTTAGCAAGCGCTGCCGTGTGACGCTGACGATAATGTCGAGTCGTGAAAGGCTATTTAATTTAAGCTACATTTTGGCAACTTTACAGTAGAACGATTTAAAGTTAAAGAAAAATTGGCATACAAAATTTCTTTAGCTATTTCAATGAAGTAAACTTAATTGAAGTTCAATTAAAAACGTCGAACTGTTGACGCTAATAGTAAATAAGACCTTTAATTACAAAGATACATGTCGTGTATTTAGCGAAATGTCGCTTAGATCAAATAGCATTTCCCTCGATGTAATAATTAGCGTGTTTTTTTATATTTCAACGAATACTTTATGGCGTATAGTTTAATCATTAAACTTCTGTAACCGATCCCTTTTGTAATTTTAAAAACGGGACATCTCAACGTTTCAATCCTTGACGTTTTGCCCTACACAATAATATTCCTTTAGGACTACGCGTAGCGCTAAGTGTGCTATTCTATTATCCTACAAATCTACAGAGATCTTACGCCGACGAGCACCCATCGTAACTTTGTGTCCTTAAATTATATCAGATAAAAAAATCTAGTGTTAATTAAAATATTTCCCCAATTCATAGATGGCGTTAGTTGTGTTTTTTTTCTATTGACATTCTATGTCTTCTTGCCTGTATGCCGCTATGTAGGGTTGGCACACCACGTCCGCATCTGTGTTGTCCTCTTAAGTTTTTTTGGGCTGCGATTGACAAATTAAGATTTGTGGGAGAGCGAGTCAGAAAACAGACGCGGATCTAGCAGTTCGGACGAAACACAAAGTCCTTTTTATAAAAGGGGTGCCGGTCGGTCTGCGAGGCCTCTAACGTTACATCATGAAGCGAACGGCGACGGCGCAGCGGTTCAGTTCTCGTGTATGACCCCGCCCGGTCCGGGCAGGGACGACCGGCCCGACAGGAAGATATCCACTGACCGCGCCGCTTGTCGACCTTCGGATATCGCCCACACCACCAGCGACTGGCCTCTCCGGCAATCTGTCAAATAACTCGTAACGTTAGCTATTGCAATATACCAGTATTGGTAGGCAAACAAAATACAATGGTCTTCTTGAAACTTCAGTTTTTCATTTCAACTAATAAGTTGGGGCCCCAATTTTGTATTGTATGGTAATAGTACCGTGCTTCAACCCGGACGTGCGACTGGTTGGCGGCATATTTTATTTCGATGACGGTTTAAAATGCTTTTATATAATATTCAGAGCGATCTCATTATGATTACTCGGTTTTTTTGCTAATATTATTAATGCAATAATTATATTTGTTATTAATTAAAATTATATAAGAAAAGAATAGATTGTAGTGTTACCTCCAGCCGCGAAAACGTTCTTGGCGTTCGTTTTGTAAATATCCGATTTCAGTGTTTCGATGTTACTGCGCGCATCCAGCGGGAGATCTGTGGAAGATACAAGTTGATCTGTGTACACTACCGGCTCGCTATGATAGCGAGTTTTTGGCGGGAACGCGAGAAGTGAAATTGTGTGATTTGTTTTATCTTGTCTATTTAGTGTTCTTCAAGTTTAAATGTGTAATAACGGTGGTTTAATAACTGTTTAGTATCTGTGAAAGTGCTCAAATGTGGGAAAATTAAACAAAGCCGCTGAACGTAACTTCTCGGGATCCTCCAAAAAGTCCACTGGAAAAGTCTCAATAAATGTCCACCATATTACTGACATTATATTTCATACCATATCATCTCATTTCATTTCATTTCACTTCATTTCATGCCATGTTTCATATTAATCAACTTCATTTCAATAATTTCAATGTTTTTGGAAATTGTACACTTTTAATGCAAAAAGGCGACATGTCGTAGCGTGCCGGTAGTTTGTCGCTCACCGAGCTGGTTGGCGACGTATCTCTCGGGGCCGAGGAAGCCCATGGCGAGCAGCACGAGGTCGGCGCGGTACTCCCGCTGCGAGCCCGCCACCTCGCGCATGTCCCAGCGCCCGCCCGCGCCGCGGCTCCACTCCACCTCCACCGCCAGCACGCCGCACACGTTGCCCTCGCCTGACAAATATCTTATGTACTAGTCGTTTATGATTCCAGATTAATAAACAAGAAAAAGCTGACGAGTCGTCGTGACCTAAATGATAAGACGTCATGTTCACGATTCACTCCCACGGTGAAGGAATAACATCGTGTTATAAAAATCAAACTCGCAAAATTATAATTTGCGTAATTACTGGTGGTAGGACCTCTTGTGAGTCCAGTACATCGTGCGAACAATACGAGTTTAGTTAACAATATTTGGTGGCTGGCTGTAGGATTTGAACCCTGGTATTTATTCTTATTTATGATTTCAATTTTTTTCTACATATAAACAGATGTTGATATATTAACAGATCTTAGTCAATTGAAATTTATTTAATTGTATTCTTTTTAAATTTTTCAGTGTCATCCACAAAAGCATTTTTGAAAAATTATATTTTTCCTCCAAAAAACAATAAAATATGAAATGCAATACATTAAACGGTGTTTGAGTCATCAGCGAGCACTAGTGAGTTCAATGAGTAGTCGCAACTCACCGTCGTCCAAAAATTCTTTGGTGAGCGTCGAAAACCTCCTGGGGTCGTTACCGAACTTGACCTTCACCTCTTCGTGACCGTAGTCCACTCTAGAAACAAAACGATACGTCTCACGTTTCAACGCAGATTCATTTAAAAGCGAATAACGAATTTATAAAATTAAATATAAAACTTATTTTTACGATTTCATTTAGTGTTTTTCATTACGTATTATATTTTTTTTGACGGTTCCAATGGTTGGTTTGGAATGAACAGTTTTCATTATCGCGTACGACACGTGACTGCACGTGACAATAATGACAATAAAAACAGTAGACAAAAGATCGCACTAATATTTCAAGAATCGTCCAAAAGTCTAGGCTGAGGTGTTTTTTTCGCAAAGATTGCACAAATAAAAAACAATGGTGCGCGTGCAGCTTAGTGCTGTGAAACTTCTTTTGCGATGTTTAGGATAGTGGCTTTCTTCATTTTTCATCCTTAAATCAAATTTTTCTTGTAATAGGGGGATAGGTGTATAAGAGAAACGACCTAGCTCGTTTTGTCCTTTCCCTCTCCAAGGTCGAGTGGCTCGCGAGACGCTGTCTATTTTCTCACTCTCGCTCGTCCTAAATTGTATCTCTTATCTCTAGCCGTAACGAATCTGTGACGAGTTAAATTTTGCTCTCAACGCACCTAAAGAAGTTTCACTTCAATAATTCTAAAATAATGATCGACTTACGGAAACAGAGACTGCAGATTATTTTCCGGAGAGATGTTAAATGACAGACACCCTGCACTAAACATGGTCTCTAGTCTGGCATTTAACGTGTCAAGATTATACTTCAATCGTACTGATGTTTAGAAGTGGCGATATTTACTTTATAATTATCGCAATTGAACACGGCGATGTACGTTGCTTCCGTATGTATAGTAAACTATAAAACGTATACATCCATGCTCACGAGGCAATTAATCGATGACAAATACGTATATACATCACGCACGATTCGCGCCAACAGATACGACTTAGAGACGAATATGCGTTTAATGCTGGAACCACACTGCGTTATGCGCTATTCGTTATGTGACTACGCCGTATTCGCCAAAATATTTGCTAAGCGCGCAAACAACAAACATGCCATCCACACTTCGAACTTGTGCGCTGAATTATGCCAAATAAGGCAAATATGTGTCTTGTTTGCGTGGAGCGATGGACGTGTTAAGAGTTGCCGCAATTTATTATTTCCTAAATGTTTCTTACCAATACTTGTACAAAGTTACTAAAAGACCGAAAAGAAAACGCTGGTGGATGATTACAAGTCATAAGGCACGTCGATACACGACCGCCACAAGCGAGCGAATGACACACCGAACTGTGGGCAGTCGATGCGCATATTCGCCTTATTCGTGTCCTTTGAAGTGAGTCAAAAAACCGACAAGTCGACGGATACGCGTATTTGCTATTCGTCCTTATGTGTTATGCGTACGAATAAAGCGAATATTGGCGAATATACTCTCCACACTTCGCCGTATGCGCGTGAATAGCTCGCATAACGAATAGCGAATAGCGCAGTGTGGTTCCGGCATAAGAATAAGAGGTTTACATACTCGTATACCTACGTACATTGTATTCGACGAGTGTCTAAATCAGTCATTAAAGTTTACCTGAAAACTCTAGGCCACTGAGGCCAAGGGTTATCTAGTCCTCTGGTCTTTTTCGGCTCGGGTAAGATTTCGAATGTCGTTATTGTCTTCGCGCCCTGACGCAACGAAGTGGCTATGCAATCGCATCTGTAGACAAATAAATATTTCACATTAAATAAATGTCATACGTACTTGGAATATGAAGTTAAGTGATAAAATGTTAAAAACCTTTTTAAAAACTTCCAGAAACAGATCAGCAATTAATCACGCACGGTCATCCGGTCCCAATTTAGGATTCCCTGTATTATGGGTACCAGAGATTGACATAAATACTTATATACGTTTAAATATAAGCATTGTATAGTTAATCAGCATCCAGACAGAGCAAACAAACCTGTTCATCACATGAATGTTTGCCCGATACGAGAATCGAATCCACGATCCTTGGCGCAACAGTCAGGAGCGCTCACTACTGAACCATCGAGTTAGTAAAATTGATTCATTCAACAGCAAAGAGCAATTTTTATGTTTTGTATTTTATGTTGTCATTACTTTGTCCGAAAGTGATTGGGATTTAAGCAAAATAAAATAGCTTCCACTTTATAAATAAGTGATAAATAATGAATTAATTGACCAATTTACTTTGAATTTAGAAAAACACAACATCGATATCGCAACAAATGGCGTCAGTTAACATTTGAACTCCAGTATTTAACATTAAGCCTTATAATAAAGCATATAGAATTGTTTTTTAAGTGCATCCGACACTGACCCGGTATCTCCGCCTCCGATGATGAGCACGTCCTTATCTTTGGCGTTGAGTTCGGGGTTGTCCTTCATATGTGGATGAGTGGATCCCGCCTGCTTCTTCTGCCAGGTCTCAAGGAACTCCATGGCGTAGTGGATGCCATTGAGCTGGCGGCCCTTCAGGGGCAGGTCGCGGGGCCAGGTCGCGCCCAGGCACAGCACCAGCGCGTCGTACCTGTTCGCATATTGGAGTTTACACATTCGTTCATCGCAATGTTTACGGTTGTCGTTTCCTTCGAAGCATCTCGCATCTCACTCGCACATTAATGCGACTGACGTCATAGTTTACATCGTATATTTATAAACCTTTTTAAATCATGAAAATAATCTCTATTGCGGTAATTTCTGTGTCTGTCTACTGACCATTTTACAGTATAATAAATACCCCATTTTATTAATCAATTTATGTCAAATGATTTTTTTTAACCTATTAACCCAACTTTAAACTGCTTTAAAAGAATGGTGAAGGAACGTTACCTATCCGCCTAATAGTGTTAATAGTGTTGTTTGCTTGTTTATGCTTTATCCTTACTGTTAATTTATTATGTGTATGTAAATAAGCATATTGGAATATAAATCATAATAATATGGTAATTTCATATTGTGTTTAACGGTATATACGAGTATATATTTATTTTATCTATGTATTTTCTTTAATAATGTGTTGTTAATAGTACACCGTAAAATACCTGCTATATCTTTATCCATCCAGAATTTCGGGTAATTAAACGGTTGTCTGGAAGAGATCGCTTTTAGCGATAAGACCGCCTATTGTACAAACGTATCTGCTTGTTGACTGTTTTCTGATGTTAATTGGGTTTTGGTGTGCAATAAAGTATGTTCTCTCTGTCTCTCTCTCTCTCACCCTATTTCAACTGCAATTATAGTTAATTTGCTTACTCGCTTGCTAATTCATTAGCGGATATATCCTTCCCGACGTCGACGTTGCACTTGAAGACGATCCCCTCGGCCTGCATCAGCTTGATCCTTCTGGCGACGACCTCCTTGCTCAGCTTCATAGTAGGTATCCCGTACTGCAGCAGGCCGCCCGCCCGGTCGTTCCGCTCGAACACCGTCACCGTGTAGCCGGCCTGCAAGCGGGACCAGACATGAAGTCGTCGTGGCCTAAAGGATAAGACGTCCGGTGCATTCGTATCTAGCGATACAACCGTGTTCGAATCCCGCAAGCGGGTACCAATTTTTCTAATGAAATACGTACTTAACAAGTGTTCATGATTGACTTCCACGGTGAAGGAATAACATCGTGTAATAAAAATCAAACCAGCAAAATTATAATTTGCGTAATTACTGGTGGTAGGACCTCTTGTGAGTCCGCGCAGGTCCGTACCACCACCCTGCCTATTTCTGCCATGAAGTAGTAATGCGTTTCGGTTTGAAGGGCGGGGCAGCCGTTGTAACTATACTTGAGACCTTAGAACTTATATCTTAAGGTGGGTGGTGCATTTACGTTGTGGATGTTTATGGGCTCCAGTAACCACTTAACACCAGGTGGGCTGTGAGCTCGTCCACCCACCTGTTTTATTTACTGTGACGCACTTAAGATATCAGAGTCCTCGGCGTGCCTGTGCGCATTGCTGTGGTCCACGAACGACTTGGGAGCACGATACTCTGTCTTGGCCGCCAAAAAAAATGTAGGCACATTTATACAAAAACTTCTTTCTTTATACGTAATTTTGAACTCTGCTATTTGTTTTTATTGTATATCTAAACCAATACATATTCCGTTCGCTCGACGACCCAACGCGCCTTGACCTTCCAAGTTTTTCTGAAGTATATTCTTCTTCATTTTCTTTGTTTTGTTTTTACGTAATATCCTCTCCGCCATTGTTAAATTCATGTTAATTTAATTGTTATTATGTTACAGAGTTACTTTCGTATATTTATTCGAGTTTCTCGGCGGATCTTTTCAGTGGGTTGCGATTCCATATCGAGGGGTAATACTAACGAAGCAGTAATCTTGCTAGAGCCAGTTTTGTCGTCTAAGGTTAGTCCGCTGAGCTCACCTGGCTGTCCGTGTGTAGTTGGAATGGTTTCGTAGGGTATTAAATATATATATGGATTGGACTTGGACTTGTTGGATTTAGTCCTCGCTCATGTCGTAGTTTATAGTTATGTATTTAAAAAAAACAAAAACAAAATGTGTGCAATTCACACGTGGTAGAAGTGAAACCTTCCAAAATTAAAATACAATTATCCTAAACGTCTTAAGTATATGTTAAATTTTGTCATTAGTAAATAATTGTAAGGTAGCGCCCTCTGTGAATCGATATTTTAATTTCACGTATAATCCTAAATTAAAATTCACTACAAGAGCTTTCATACACACGTTAGTATTAAAAAACCTCACAGATGGCGCTGTATTAAATAGTATGTATATTTCTGTCTCATTCTTTGCTGGCTTCATCCTACACATTTTTGTATTTGTGTCTCTTACCTGTCGTTTTTTCCGTTGCATCACAACGATTCTAAAGAAGTTTTCACTTCAATAACTCCTTTTTCGTTACGCACCAACAAAATATCGATACTGATTACGTGGTACGTGACATCACATCACTAGAATATTTTCAAGTCGATATTTCGCGTACAGTACATACATACCGGTGGTAAGGTAGTATTAGTTCGTTAAGTGACATTGAATGTTAATGTGGTTTTTGCTCAGTATTTTTTTTTATCCTATCCAAGCTGATGGCCTTGAGAGGCCATTTCTGCGTCCAGCCATATGCTCGTCAATGATTACATTGTTTTTTTTTTAGGTTTTTGCAGCTCGATGCCGCCTTTCTATAATGAACTTTATTGTCTATTGTACAAACTACATAATGAAATAAAAACGCCTTTTTATTTTATTTTTGTTGCTTAGATGGATGGACGAGCTCATAGTTCACCTGGTGTTAAGTGGATACTGGAGCCCACAGATATCTACAACGTAAATGCGCCACCCACCTTGAGATATAAGCTCTAAGGTCTCAAGTATAGTTACAACGGCTGCCCCACCCTTCAAACCGAAACGCATTATTGCTTCACGGTAGAAATAGGCGGGGTGGTGGTACCTACCCGTGCGGACTCACAAGAGGTCCTACCACCAGTAAAAAAGCCTATTATAATGGCTACATAGAATGATACTGCAGATTTAGTTGATACAATGAAAGTGTCGATAATGCATTTATGAGGCCAGTAGGTCACGTACCTTGTTGAGCTGGTGCGCGCAGGCCAGCCCCGCGGGGCCCGAGCCCACCACGGCCACCGTGTGCCCGTTCCGATGCGGCGGCACCTACACAAACACAATACAATAAACGACGGAAATAGTTAAATATAAATGATAAGCACTATATTAGCGAAGCGTAGCAGTAGATGTTCCAGTCATTTATCATCTTTCATGTCATATGTACACGAATATTGTTTAAAAACGCTTTTGCCTTGAAGAAATCGTACTTATCGCTTTAAAAGCAAAGTTAGTTTTAATTTTTATACTACAGAGATTTGACTTTAAGCAGAATGGTGATAGATTTCTGTCTATAAGAAATGAGGACTAATAAAAATTAGAATGAAATTTATCTTAGATAAGTTTAGAAAACTCTATTTACGAAGAACACTTATTCTAGTGTTGAATTCGATTCATTTCGATTGTTACGATTCTTAGGAGAGACATTAGGCCTTGGGGTTATTATGTTCATTAGTTGCACCGCGACGAGTTACGTCGCACGTCCGATACAACCGCACGTGCGGAGTTTCTCGCCGGATCTTCCCAGTGTGTCGCGATTCCGGTCCGGTGGTAGACTCTGCAAAGCACTGCTCTTGCTAGGGCCAGTGTTAACAACACTCCAGTTTGAGCCGTGTGAGTTCACCTACATGTTAGGGTGAAGCTGAAATAGTCTTTCAAGGTTATCAGCATAGATAGAAAAAAAAATGTTGGCCGCACCTCCGGCTTGAGCCAGCCCGCCTCGAAGGCGTGGTCGATGATGGCGCACTCGATGTTCTTGATGGTGACGGCGGGCTCGCTGATGGCCAGCACGCACGCGCCCTCGCACGGCGCCGGACACACGCGCCCAGTGAACTCTGCAACCGGACAACGCTGCTGCTGCCTTAAACGTGTCTCTAAGCTTTCAACGTACCATGTCACTATTCGCATTTGCAAGTCAGGAAGAGTGCGGACACACGGGACTCTCCCTCCCTGTCGCACAGCGCGTTGTTGACGATCGCGTCACATAGTAACGGAAAATAGTGAGTCCTGGCTATGATTGCTGACAGACTGTGATGGATATCAGACACTGTTGTAATAAGCATGTATCTCTCGATAATGTAACACAGTGACTAATATAGCGGTGGTTACTCAGTTAACACTATTTTATTAATTTTAATTTTATATTAGTAGTTGACAATTTTACTGGTGGTAAAAGTTCTTGTGAGTCCGCACGGATAGGTACCACCACCTTGCCTATTTATACCGTGAAGCAGTAATGCGTTTCGGTTCGAAGGGTGGGGCAGCCGTTGAAACTATATTGAGACCTTAGAACATATCTCAAGGTGGGTGACGAATTTACGATGTAGATGTCTATGGGCTTCAGCAACCACTAAACACCAAGTGAGCTTGTCCACCCATCTAAGCAAATATTTATTGAAGTGAAAACTTCTTTAGAATCGTTGTGATTACAAACCGGATGCAACGGAAAAAACGACAGGTAAGAGACACAAATACAAAAATGTGTAGGATGAAGCCAGCAAAGAATGAGACAGAAATATACATACTATTTAATACAGCGCCATCTGTGAGATTTTTTAATACTAACGTGTGTATGAAAGCTCTTGTAGCGAATTTTAATTTAGGATTATACGTGAAATTAAAATATCAATTTAGTCTACCATGGAAAACGCCATGGTTTGATTCTTGTAACCTTAATAGAACCACCCTAGTGACTGTTTTCAGACTTCGTTCCGGGCACATCCCACTCAATAAATTTGCTCATTTAATGGGGAAGGCTCCTGATCCCAAATGTTCAGTTTGTGATGTAGTGGATGACGCTTTTCACATTATGATGGAGTGTGCGCGGAATGATGATTTGAGACAACAATTCTTTGCAAAACATACAGATTTCCGACAAGTTGGAGGTGTAAATTGCGTATTAGCCTTTCCGGAATCCGAAATGGCTAAGTCACTTTATAAAATAGTGTTGGTGGGCCTTCAGAGACGATAACAGTTTTCTTAATTTTTTTATAAAATTTTTTGTTACTATCTTTTGTTGCACAATGGAGTGACATATTCACTAAGTGAATAATCTCCTTAAATAAAGATTAAAAAAAAAAAATATCAATTCACAGAGGGCGCTACCTTACAATTATTTACTAATGACAAAATTTTACATATACTTAAGACGTTTAGGATAATTGTATTTTAATTTTGGAAGGTTTCACTTCTACCACGTGTGAATTGCTCACTTGTTTTTTTTTAATTCAATTTCATTTTATTTAATTTTATGTAATTGTATGTGACACTTTATGGGCTTAAGTTGCCTAATGAATTTGATTAGCTTGTTACTGTAGAGTAGATGGGTGCGTTACCGGGGAAGTTGTTGGTCTGCAGCAGCTGCGCGAGCGCCTGCGCCCAGTCGGCGCGGTAGATGAGGTCGTTCCACTTGGGGATGAGGTTGCCGAGCGGGCAGCCGTGCGCGCTCTGGCAGAAGGGCACGCCGCAGTCCATGCAGCGCGCCGCCTGCACGCGCACGGAGCGCCGCACCGCGCCCGCCGCGTAGATCTCCTCCCAGTCGCGCAGCCGGCTCTCCGCGCTGCGGTACAGCGCCGTCTCGCGACCGTACTTCATGAACCCTCTGCGCACAGATTCTATTTAATTACATTGCGTGCAGCAGGACAACAAACGTTAAAGAAACAAAAAAATATCTATCGTGATTTTAAGTGTTATTCTAGTGTAATTTTTTGAGAACTTTTCGCTCACAGTTAACATGTGATCGAACTCACCTGGTCTTGTCCAAGATCTTTTCGAGATTCTTCTTCTCGAACTCGACATCCTTAACGGTCTCCTCTATGTCGAGCACGCCGTTCTGATGTCCATTGGTGTCGCCCTTCTGCGCGGCCGGCTGCTTCAGAGCCATCTGCTTCAGCGCTCGCTGGTACTCGTACGGGAACACTTTGACGAACTTCTTCGCTGGTTCGGGCCATGTCTTTAATAGTTCTACCGCGATCAGTGATCTGTAGGGGTAGGAAAGGAGATTGAGGTTTTCATTGCCCCTTTAAATATTATATCGATAAACTCTTTGTGCTGGCGATCTTGATATTATCATGGCCATGACTGATGTCAGCTAATAAAGCGGGCTTTAAATTGTTTTCTGGCAGACTAATGGTAATAAAAAAAACAGTTTAGAACAATCTGCATTCTTAAGTACAACAAAACAAAATGTTCTATATAAAAGGTCACACTCAAAATCTAAGCCTAAAAATCAAAATAAATGCAGCTCTTTCAGAAAAGTTCTATCAGATGTTAAAATATCGCAATGCTTTACAGAAATATAAGCATTTTATAATAAACATTAAATGTGTAGCATTTAATAGTACTACTCACCCAGTGTACTCTACGAATTCTTCGAGAAGTTTCTGTACATATTTGAGGTCGTCTTCGAGTTCCAAAGGTAAGAGTTCAACCATTTCAGGGTTACATTTCCCTTTGAATGAACCATCAATGTCGTAGACGTAGGCGATGCCACCTGATCAAAAAATAAAAATAATACGTTTAAAAAATTAAATGCGGGTATTTTTAAATGACACAGATTATTCAAGAGATTGTTAATTAAAAATTGGTTAAGTAAAAGTAATTGTTGTATTAATATTTACATTTCGTGAAGCCGTGATCTCGAATGAATATGGTCGGCAGCCAATCACATTGCTTGTAATTTTTGTAATCATTATTATTCTTTAAACGTATTATTGTTAGGATTTATTAGAAAAGCTTTTAAAAAAAAAGGATTTAATTTAAAAAAGTATTTAATTCTAATAATTAAAACATTTGATACTGACAATTGAAATTAATTGGGGCAAGTTTTACCACGGGAATTGAACTGCGTGATCTATCGGCAAACCTAACTGAGCTGCATTACGTTGTATACCTTAAGGCGCTGCCACACGGCTATAAACATTAGTAAACATTTGTTATGAAACATACGATCACAATGTTAGAAAATGTTTAGATGTTAGGTAAATTTAGTAAACATTTCAAAAAATAAAAGCTAATCCAATGAGCAAATCTTTTTCCATTTTCGTCTAGACGCCTCGGAAAGTAAATCCAAACTGCGAGCGAGTCGATTTAACAAATTTTATAAATATATAATGGTATTGGGTACTCCAGAATAAATAAACAATAAAAGACTTAATTGCGTTTTCTGTTTTGTGTGTAATGAGAATATTAATATTTTTAAACAAACTGAACTTTCTTTTTACTTAATGTCAAACTTCACTGAATTACATATAAGAAAATCCTTTTAGAAAACTAAAGAGTTTTAGACTATCAAGGTTTTTCTTTACAAATATTTGTAAACATTTTCCATCGACACCTACACAGCACTTATAACTTTTAACAAATCTTTTTTGTTTATTGCCCTTATAGGCAGACGAGCATACGGTCCACCTGATGGTGAGTGGTTACCGTCGCCTATGGACTTCAGCAATGCCAGGAGCAGAGCCAAATCGCTGCCTACCGCTTAATACTCTACACAAGCCTCATTTGAAGAAGGACATGTCATAATGCTCGGGAAACACCGTGGAGGGGAGCTCATTCCATAGCCGGATGGTACGTGGCAAAAAAGACCTCTGGAAATGCACTGTGGATGACCGCAGTGCCTCCAGGTAGTATGGATGAACTCTACTCCAGTGGCGGGCGGTGCGATGGTAAAAACGGGATGCCGGTATCATCTCGAACAATTCCTCAGAGCACTTAATTCCTAACAATTGTTAGTAAATGTATTAGTGTTAGAACATGTTTGTAAACATTTTTAAACAGTAGTGTGGCAGCACCTTTTTTTTGCATTTTTAGGTACATTAAGAATATATAACAGTATCGTGTCTAGAATGATTATCTGTATGTGCAGAGCGCGAGTGAGTTACCGCTCATGCCGGCCGCGAAGTTCCTGCCGGTGAGCCCCAGCACGAGCGCCGCGCCCGCCGTCATGTACTCGCACGCGTGGTCCCCCACCCCCTCCACCACGGCCGTGCAGCCCGAGTTGCGCACGCAGAACCGCTCCGACGCGATGCCCCTGCGCGCACCACAACACAACCGTCACCACGCACCTTGCACCGCCATGTTTATTTACTAATTTTTATTGCTTAAATGGATGGACGAGCTCACAGCCCTTGGAGCCCATATACATCTACAACGTAAATGCACCAACCATCTTGAGATATAAGTTCTAAGGTCTCAGTATAGTTGCAACGGCTGCCCCACTCTTCAAACCGAAACGCCTGTGGTACCTACCCGTGCGGACTCACAAGACGTCCTACCACCAGTAATTAGGCAAATTATAATTTTGCGGGTTTGATTTTTTATTACACGATGTTATTACTTCACCGTGGAAGTCAATCGTGAGCATTTGCTAAGTACGTATTTCGTTAGAAAAATTGGTACCCGCCTGCGGGATTCGAACACCGGTGCATCGCTAGATTCAAATGCGCCCGACGTCTTATCCTTTAGGCCACGAGGATTTCTTTAAACTTATCTATATATTAATAATACGTGAACCAAAAATTTTGTACCCCTTTTTACGAAAATTGCGCAAACGGAGTATGAAACCATGTATTTGACACACGCACGCATGCATACTACGAGTATTTGTTTATTGTCAAACTTTTCTTATTGCTTATAGTTTGTGGTCAAATTGAGAATAGAGTAATATTGTTTGTCTTTATTAATATTTGTCTTGTAGTCTTGGCGAAATCTGTGATTATAGAAGTTTTGGACAATAGAATAATACCTAATAGTATCAAACTTATAATTTCAATTAATTATAGTCTAATTTCGACTACCAGGGGACCACTAGTTAAGATTTAATGTGCGTACTGAATTATGTACAGTCAACGGATATTCTAGAAAGTACTTGTAGGTTCACAAATAGATAATAAAATGTACCTGAAGTAGGCGCGTCCCGAGGTGGCTCCGTACAGACACACGTTCCCCACGATGACGTTGAGATGCGACTCGAAGGGAGACTCCCGCGGCGGGTAGATGACCACGGTGCCGCCCGACAGACCCTTGCCTGAGCCAATTCGATCATTATTACTACGTACTACGTGGCTGTACAGTATACGTGAAGTTCAAAGTCGTCACTTATCAAATTTATTTTATATTCTGACTTAACTGAACCGCGCGGACTTACCGACGTAGTCGTTAGCGTCTCCCTCGAGCGTTACAGTGATGCCCTTGGACAGGAACGCGCAGAAGCTCTGTCCCGCTGAACCGGTCAATGAGATGTTAACAGTTTTACCGTCCGGTAGACCGTCGTCGCCATATTCCCTAGAACAAAAAATGTTTGGTTGGCAGTTGGCATAGTTCTGAAACCTACTATAACACCATCAGTAGGTCTCGCATTGCAGTGGGTCTCGCGTTGTAGGAGATCTCGCGTTGTAGGGGATCTCGCGTTGTAGTGGGTCTCGCGTTGTAGTGAGTCTCGCGTTGTAGTGAGTCTCGCGTTGTAGAGAAACTATCTCTTTACCATTTATATATAATATATTTTAAATATACCTATAGTTTTTTTTTAAATCCTTCATTAGAAATAAAATATTTAATTTAATTTATTATGTTACTGCCATCTATACGAGCAATGAGAAACTAATAACTAGCCATCTAGTGGCTGACGCCCGGAAGCAGAAAGAGATATATTATAATATACATAAGAGAAACGACCTAGCTCGCTTTGTCCTTTCCCTCCCTGTACGGTAGTGGTTCGCGAAACGCTATTTTCTCACTCTCGCTCTTCCTAAATTACATCTTTTTTTTCTTTAGCCGTAGCGAACGCGTGAAGAGTTAAATTTTACTCTCAACGCACCTAAAGAAGTTTCACTTTAAAAATAATTTGACAGCTCTACTTATCCTTTTCAGCCTGGACAACTGTTCAAAACGTTGTTTCTATTGTCAACAGTCAAATGAATAGAAAAGTACATCCATAGAGTAGCGGCACGGGGTATTCCCGATCCTGCAGACAGAATGGAAAGCAGTCGACGTCGCCCTAAGCACGTCATTCCGGAACCTCCCGATCCACTAACGGTGCTTTTAGGTACTTCAAGCACCGGTCATCGTTCTCGTCGAGCCCTTCGTCGCGAGCGACGGGCTCGACGAGTAAATTAACCCACAGACACAGCCCACTGAGTTTCTCACCGCATCTTCTCAGTGGGTCGCGTTTCCGATCCGGTGGTAGATTCTGCGTAGCACGGCTCTTGCTAGGGTTCGTGTTAGCAACGTCGTCAGGCTTGAGCCCCGTGAGCTCACCTACTAGTTAAGGTTACGCTGAAATAGCCTCTTAAGGTTTTAGAGGTTAGGTTTTAGGCTCAGATTAGGTAGAAAAAGAAAAAAAAGCACTCACATAGCGATCCGATAGGACAGGGTGGAAGTAAACGCGCGGTCCTCGTTCGTTATTTTCATTTTGATGTCGGCGTGCGCCTGAGTCCCGTCCAGGATGCCGGAGCACTGCTCGATCAGCTGATTGTCCAGACGTTTCTCCAGTTGGAAGTCCTGGAACATTCACAAAACATATTATTGATTTTCAATATATTCAGGTCAGCCTATATTCGTCCCTTTTTCGAACCTAGTTTCGAAGGGCACGTCGTAGCACCCTAGGAAACTGGAGCGTAAACACTTCAGAAATTGCGGTAGCCAATAAAAAAAACCTAACGTTTATTTAAGATAGCCGACCTGCGCTTTGGAGCCCCCGATGATGTTGACCCCGGGCCTCATGTGGAGAGCGTTCTTCAGTATGAGGCTCAGGTTGAGCAGCCTGGCCTTGGGGTTGTCGTTGTTCTCGCGCACCTTGAGCAGGTCCGTGCGACCGATCAGGTCTTGGAAGCGCCGCACACCGACTTCAGCCATGTGCTGACGTATCTGTTAAGCAATAACTTCATAAGTAACATTAAATTTATTTAGTTTAATTATGCTGAAATACGACATCTCAAAAGGCACGTGATACTTGAACTGGATCAAAAATTTGACAATAAAAATTAGAGACCGTCATTGGACAAGTAACTCTGAACATTAGTCCTTTGCGTCGGCTTATCTGGTGTCATAGTCTACGGATTGATTCCCGATTAATAACTAAAAGGTGATAAGTCGTCGTGGCCTAAAGTATAACACGTCCGTTGCATTCGTATCTAGCGATGCATCGGCGTTCGAATCCCGCTGACAGGTACCAAATTTATAATGAAATACGTATTTAACAAATGTTCACTATTGACTCCCGTAATGAAGGAATACCATCGTGGAATAAAAATCAAAACTGCAAAATTATAATTTGCGCAATTGCTAGTGGTAGGAGGTCTTGTGATTCGGCACGGGTAGGTACCACCACCCTGCTTATTTCTGCCGTGAAACTGTAATGTGTTTTGGTTTGAAAGTTGGGGCAGCCGTTGTATTGTTAAAAGTGAGATTTTAAAACTCATGTCTCAAGGTAGGTGGCGGCATTTACGTTGTAGATGTCTATAGGCTCCAGTGATTAGGTGGGCCGTGAGCTCGTGAGCAAAAAATATATATTCGTCCACCCATCTAAGCAATTTTTTTTTTTAATTCATAATTGGTTGCATGCTTGTTGTATACCACTTCGGATACGTTTGCTGCATAGTACCGTTGAGGTCCGATAGATGGCGTTCAAACAAATTCACACGTTTCGTATGTTGTCGATGGTCACAGCGAAGAGTCGCCGATAGTACAAACCACATTACACGTGTTAATATAAATGTTATATTCGGATTAATGATAGAATCGAGTTGAGCACCTCTTCCGCCAGCATGAAGAGGTAGTTGACGACGTGTTCAGGTTTCCCGGCGAATTTCTTCCGGAGCACCGGGTCCTGCGTGGCGATGCCGACCGGGCACGTGTTCAAGTGGCACTTGCGCATCATCGTGCAGCCTGGAACGTGTATCATTACAACATTGCATTGTTCATCGTGATATATCATTATTAGAATCATAACGCATAGAAATTAATGCGACCAAAACTTGCGTTTTGGATTCATTGCGCGTCGGCCAAATATCAAATTAGTTAAACAAGTCGTTTTTTTTTTCGGTTTCATAAGAGTTTTGAGAGAGACAATATAATATAGAAATAATATAGTTCTACAAATTGTCGGTGAGTGTACTGACCGAGCGCAATGAGCGGCGCGGTGCTGAACCCGAACTCGTCGGCCCCGAGCAGCGCGGCGACCATCACGTCGAACCCGGTCCGGATCTGACCGTCCGCCTGTACGACGACCCTGCACCGCAAACAATTTTTATTTGATTTCATATTATACTAAATTGGTTAAATGATTTTTAATACAAAGAGTTTATTTTAATTTATTTTTTATTGCCGTTTAGGCAGACGAGCATACGGCCCACCTGATGGTGAGTGATTATCATCGCTCATGGACGTCAGCAATGCCAGGGGCAGAGCCAAACTGCTGCCTACAGAATCTATATTATCTTAATACTCTAGCCTAGAGTTTCATTGTATCTGATGCTGGTGTTGAGCGGTTACCAGAGCCCATAGACACCTACCCTGCCACTAGTAAGTCTCATATATCTATTATTTTTTTCATAAGATTAAATATATAATATATTTATTATACATGTATACTTATAGATTTAATTCGTTCTTGGCCAACAGGCTAAGCACGTCGTATATGGAGAATTATTTTATTTAAGTATTTAAATGGACAAGTAGCAGTCTCTCGTTCCAGTTGGACGGGTGGGACATCCATGATAGAGCGCAGCTGATACTTCCGACTTAAAGTTTCAAGGTCAGTGGCATCACGTTGTGATGTCTATGAGCTCCAAAAGCCACTGGTAAGCTGGTCGATTCGTGGACACATGAGTACAGACCTGGATCTGAGGTCGTTGAGCACGAGCACCTGGTGCGTCTCGGCGACCCCCAGCTCCCAGGGCAGGCCGGCCGACTTGATGCCGGTCCACGAGCTCGCGCCGGTGCCGCCGTCGTGCCCAGAGATCACGATGTGCTCTGCCTTGCCCTGCGGACCCATCACGCTACTTCAACAAACAGTAAGACGTTCATATAATTAAGATTATAATTAATTTTTTTTATTTAGGAAATAAAAATATTGTAATATAAAGTTTAACTGCAAATAGCCAGAGGGAGAAGAGAGAGAGACGAGGCAAAAACGTTAAAAACGGTAGAGAGGAAGAGGTCGACCGAAGAAGACATGGATGGAGTGTGTGAATGACGATATGAGTGAGTGTTGAGATGACGGCTGATAGAAGAAAATGGAAGAGAAAAATTAACCAGACGGAGAAGCTACTGAAGCACAATAGTCTTATCCGACGCCGAAGATTCCCTATCGATCTCCTTATTAAAATCCACGGTCACATTGGAATCGTGATCTGAAGGCGCTCACCTTGGCGACCCCGGAAGCCACGACCCCGACCCCGACCTCGGACACCAGTTTGACGGATATGCGAGCCTTGGGGTTGGCGCACTTGAGGTCGTAGATGAGCTCGGCGAGGTCCTCGATGGAGTAGATGTCGTGGTGCGGCGGCGGCGAGATCAGCCCCACGCCCGGCACCGAGCACCGCGTGCGCGCTATGTCCGCCGTCACCTTGTAGCCTGCGTGCAGTAACAGTTCCGGTTACTTAACTATGTACGGCAGGAATCACATTTTAATTAAACTTTTAATGTTCAATTACTACCTGTTCATAGATTTAAGAAAACTGTCCAGGAACGTTTGTGCCACAAGGCTTATTATAAAATTAAGGATTATTTACTAGACGGCACTACGTGGGAATGAGGCGTTCGCTCCTGGCCTTTTCATTTTTTATTATTATTATGTGTTCCGTTTGACGTCCGAAGTCCATTATGAGAGTACATCGTATGATTTCCACTGCAGGTCGCTAAATTTGACTACTTCCGTTTCCTAAGTCCCATCTACAGCGCCCTCTATAACGTCTGGAACCGAACCAACAAGCAAAGACAAGCCGCCATATTTGTCATTGTTGCGTCGTTTTTTCCCACGTGCAGTCGTTAATATTTTAAGAAGTTAGTAATTTAAAATGTTATAAGCAACTTTCGAGATTTGAAGTAGAAAGTTTGTTTCAAACAAGTGTTATGATTATCTTCCGTTTCGTGAAACCTCCAAGGCTCTACAATGAGTGATGAGGTTATCGCGCCTTTCAAAGTAAAATTTAATTGAGGATAGTTCTTCGATTTCTTCGGATATTTCTTCGGGTTCGTCGGAAAATAAAGACTAGGGACCAGCAAGAAAACTTCGAAAAAGTGACTGGTCGCGAGATCTGAATAAAAGGTTTGACTTACTGTCGCAATAATGGGTGAGTCATGTGAATAATATTTTAACTTCGAATCATGCTATTGCTGGTCGTGCACCAGTGGTCCCGCCTTTACACTTACAAATACCAACATCTTATAATAATAATGTCTGATCTGGTTTCAACTTCCAATCGAAATTAGACAACGACGAATAGTTTTTACGTCTGCCACCAGACCGTCCGTTACCAGAAGCGGGTAGGTTTTGAAATTTGAGCATTTCT